TCATCCGAACTGCAGTCAGTGGGGGCGTAGGCGGAGATTACGAAAAGGCATCGGCGAGTAGTGCAGTCCTTTCTCCTTCTTACTGATCCGTTCAGACGGACAGCACACATTCGGCTATCTACTGGGATCCAGTCAAGCAATGTCTTTTCTGCCCTAGTACTCAGAGCTATCCCTACGCCAGCTAATCCCCGTGAACTAGCTGTGGCATCTCCTGACACCCTCAAGGTGAATTTTGAAGATTCATCCTGTTGGCCAGGTGGGGTTAGGTGAATAACCACACTTGGGTCTTGTATGCGTGTTTCTGAAACACAACATACATCAATGGCTCAGATGCCAGGGTCTTAGCTAGTGATGCTTGTTGTCCTATTTGGCAAAGTGTCCTAACATTAAATGCTCCTATATGAAATTGGTGGCGTGGCTTTAGGAGACTATCCGTGGTGGTTTTTTGGCTTTCGTCGTTTTTAGTGGACACAGAGTGAAGAGGGAGTGAGGAGCCATCAAGTAGAGGAGTTGCATCAGTGGAAGGAAGGCAAGGTAATAGAGATGAAGATGAAGACAAAGATAAGTGAGGATTAGAGAGGTTTTGTGTGCATTTCGGATTGTGAGGGCGATTGTTACTTCCCGGCTGCCCACACCGTGGAAGTTGGTTGCGTGACCGCAGAGCCCAGGGGACAACTGCTTGTGGCCGGTCACACGCGGCCTGTTTTTGTTCGTTCTTCGTTGTTTTGTGTGCCTCAGTAGCATACTTATCACTCCCGCCCTGTGACACGGCAGCAGGAAGCGCGGTCGTTGTTAATCCGGGCCACGGCCGATCCGGCATGAAATTTTGTGAATTTGTTTGGATCATGGTATTGGATGAGGTAGCTGCTTTTTGTTTAACCGCTATCCAAACAACCTGCCTGGCATGGTAGAACCTCAAGAGACATAAGTCTCAGCCAGTATAGCTTGATTAGGTCATTGCGGTGTTCAAGCCCGACCACCACGTCAAGGTAGCAGCTTTCGGTCGGGATGTCTCCCATTACAATTTTAATGTCACTGACTGGAGTATTGTCCATTGTTGCCTGTAGAACTCTTCTTTCTTCTAAAGGTCTGCATTGTTTGTGGGTGCATAGCATTGTATAACTGTCACTTTCCTTCCTTTTGAGTTGAATCTGGTGGCGGTCATTATCCTGGGCGAGATCGCCTCCCATTGCATTAGGGACTTCGTTACCGTTGGTGACATCATGATAGCCACACCCTGGGTGTGTTCTAGGTGACTGGAGTAGATCATAGACTCTCTGTTTGACAATTTGGTGAGTCCACTTCTATTCCATCCGCTTTCACATATTCCCGGTACTTGGATTCCGTATCTTTTCATCTAGTTTGCGTTCTGGGCAGCTTTGCCAATCTCGTATATGGTGCGGACTTCCCATGTCCCTTCACAGACTTTTTCTTTTGTCGCAAGGTGACTCATCGGGCTGCAGTTTCTGTAGCAACTTTGTTTACAGGGTGGGGTTGTCAGTCTCACTCCTGAAATAATAATAATAATAATAATAGGTAGTAGACATTAATCAGGTAAGTGTAATATAATTAATTAATTGGTACCTAAGATTTAGTTATCTGAGTGTTCCGGTTTTACTTCCCAAACACTCTAATTGCTTGACGCGCATATTGTTTCTGGAAGATTTCGGTGCATTACATGCCAATTTCCATGTTATTTTATTCCGAATGGAACATCTTTGAAGTTCCAGTAGCAATTCTTGATGGCCGCACATCACCGGCCTTACATCCTTAACGGATTTACCACGGCTAGGTGAGCTTCATGAGTGTGTTGCCTGGTAGTCGAACCTCGAACCATATGTGTGATTGGTGAGCACTATGTTGCTGCACCACCGACGCACAATTTCCATAATATGGTTTTGATTTTCTGGCTTCACACAGATTATTTAAACAGGCTTATCTGTTGTAAAGTATTGCACACACGCACACAAACAAAATAATATAATCATATAGTGTATAAAGTTTTGCAGTGTAATTGTTATACAACTCAGTGGTATCTTCCAATGCATTGTAATGTTTAGGTATACGATTTTTCGTTTAGTATATTAGCGTGACGAATAATGATTAAAAACATGATTTATTGGCTTAAGCACTCTACTTTTAGGCAGTAAGTCCTGTTGTTGAATCCCTTTCCACCTACTTAAGCTTTGGCAACTGGGTGGTATCATTAGCTTTCACAAATTTATCTAACTCATGGCCTAGTACCTGGAAGCTATGTCCTGGGTAATTGAGTTCAAGTAAATGACTGCAGTGTAGATGATAAAAATCATATAGTCCAATCAGTAAGACACAGATTCTCTAATCTCTCTAGGAATAAGTTGGATTCTGTTGTTTCTCATGTAGATACAAGCCACATACTTCCTCTGAAAATAGATACTTTGGGCAGATACCGTCATTATCGTCTATTTCACATAATTTTGTGATTGTATTCGGGTAGCCACTTTTAGCACACAAATACTATTTATCTTGTAACATCACAAACTTACCTGATTTTAAGCCTGTTGTCGTGTATTCTACGTTAAAAGAATGCATGCACCGTATGTCTGCCCATTTTTATTGTTACTACGATGACAACAAGTATTTTATAACTGTAAGAATCAAAAAACCGCTTATTAAAAAGAATATTTTTCGTTTACAAAATGGGAATAATATTTCACACCCTGATACTGAATATCAGCATCTTCTCTAATCGGTATACCGGCTTCACTTAGATCTCAGAATTTATTCACATACCTGTTATTATTATTCCCTTGGGTTCCAAGTGGAACATACTGCTTTCACTGCGAGTCTTTATTTCACTGTTCTCCATAAATCGCAAACGCCCATAACCTTACATTTCCTCATCACACCATACCCTCCATGTCATCCTCCTACCCACATCTAACTAGTCGTTTCCCTTTTTGGCTCCACTGGAGGGCCTGGTGTGTGATGACACCCAACGGTCTCCCCTGTGTATATCCTATTCATTTCCATTTTCATCAGCGTATTTGCTGACTAATAGGTTCTTCATTCGTTGGTTCCCTGAGTTCCTTGTCGCTGATCCTTTCGGGCCAACCATCTGATCTTCAGTATGGAGTGACGATAGTTGTTGGTAAGAGTTTGCAGTCTGTTGGAAGTGCTTTTGGTAACACTACAGGTCTCTAAATCATGTAGCAGTACTGTTTTGACATTGGTGCTGCGAACGTGAATCTTGTCCTTTATACATTTTTTCCCGGCTTATTTGTTGGGCAATAGGGTTTTGCTTCGTTTGTTGCCAAAGTTCCTTGTTGCTTATAGTTTCTGGCCTGTTGTCTGGTAGTCAAAATCAATTGAAGACGACTGTTGATGAAAGTTTGCAGCATGCAGTTGGGAATGGTATTCGTGATGCGTATAGCAAATCTCTAAACTCTATAAGAGCACTAATATGACATTAATCTGTCCGAAATTCGAATCTTGTTCGTTGTGTTGTACATTTTTGCTTTCAATCTCCACTATATTTTCAGAGTAGTGAACGCCGGTCTTGCTTTGAAATCCTCATCTGTCTTCTATATTTGAAACGATACCGCCTAGATAAGGCAAAGATGTGAATCCCTTTTTATTTATCCCATTTATGTTGACGTCTCTGTCTTCTTTATGTTCTCTTGAATTTCTTTTTTCGCCTCCCTACATACCTGTTAGATTATTATAAATTATAATTATCCAGGTTACACACGTTATCACAATATAACTTCTTCCTAGTATGAATTCTCTTATTTGATGCGTACAGATATGTACAAGTTTGGTTATTTAAAACCAGTTCATATCAATACCTCGCAATTTAAGTTAACTACATACTCTAAACATGAAAGCTAGAATTTTAAAGTGAATTGTCATAGATTCAGTAATAAAATAATAACACGCTTGTAATGTTCAAATAGTTCGTCAGTAGCACAGCGGTAGAATGCTTCCCGACCACACAGGTAGTCCGGGGTTCGATCCCCGGCCGACACACTCCTTTACCTCGCTAAACCAGTAATAAGGTTGGTAAAGAGGGAAGGTTAGGCATAAGGCTAGCAACCCCATCCTGTAAAAAGTAAACACCACTGCTACAGAAACTTCTAGCTTCAATCCCGTGAAGGAATAAAAAAAATTATTCAAATGACGCTAGAGCATATGTGTTATACATTAGAGAATGTTGAAGCCAGGATATTTTTCAGCTCAAATTATTCTTATTCTATGTATGTTATTGAACAATTGATTGAAAAAGTGTTAACGAAATGGAGGCAAGGAGAGATAAAAGATAGGGATTAATACTAGGATGGAAGGTGATTTTTTTATTTTTGACTATAGCTTGATTCCACACTGTATTTTTGGTACAAGTATGGAATTTTCAGCATGGATATCGGTAGCCCAAATTTTGCAGGCCGACCATGGATATCAAGTATGCGTCAGCAGGGGATCGGACCACGTGCATGGTCGACGATAGTCCTAACCACTGTGTCACCGATGCACATAGAAAGTCTGTCATCCACTTTTCAGAGCTTGTAACAAATCTAGGCTCATAGGAAAGCAAACATTTGAACAGTGTAACCACCAGAAATCTTGTTGATGTATCTAAGTCCGTCAACATATTAAATTTTCGGAAGGTATTGGGATTACTGCACTTCGTGGACGTTATCAACCGAAATTATCTATACAAAAGGAGAGTGTGATTAACTCACGTTAACTGCATATTCATTTACTAATTTCAATCCCCCATTTCCTCCGTTTATTTCACCTTACCTTTTAAATTAGTTCTAATTAGCGTTTCTTTACTTATTCTCATACATTCCAGTTCATTACACTTTTTTCGTAATTCTTTCCTACGTTTATGCGTGATTTTTTAAGTTGTGTTGCAGCTTAAATCCCTACACTTTTATTCAAAATTTTATGTCACAAATTTAGTTCATCGATTCATTAGATAAAATTCATAGGTGTCTTTCTTTCTCCTTCTCTATACACAGGTATGGGATCTAAAAGACAATGGAGAATGGGTGTGCACTGCTTCTTGGCGATGTCATTTAGGATCAGCCTGGCGTGTCAATTGGGCACATCCTGAATTTGGTCAGGTAATCGCCACCTGCTCATTCGATCGTACGATAGCTATCTGGGAGGAAATTACAAGTACTCAGGTATGTGTATATTGGCAAGAAACAAATATCTAAGGTATCATGTAACTGATTGTATAAGTAGAATACAGTTTGTGTAACTGTCTTCCAAATGTATATAATTATGTCTATGCGATTGCATCATGTGTAACTCAGAAGGGAATTCAGTCAGTGCTGAGCTGCTCAGCAGGTTGTGTTTAGTCCTAAAGACTAGTACATTTTCGTTGTGTCGTTATCTGCTTATTGTATGCCGGCAGCATAAACTCTAGATTGCACGATCATCTTAGTATCTATTTCAACGTTCTCTATGACTGCTGCCCCTGACTGAAGTATTTTTTCTACTAAGATGCGACGTTTCATATACGTGTATTGAAAATAGTTACCGTTTTCTATTGAATACCAAGGTAATGATCATGAGAAGCGACAGTCCCAATCCTAACTGCACATATCTTCGTCTTTCCTCTTTTTTTGCTCAGTCCGTAGGTAGTGGTGGCGAAATGATGGCTACACCAGTCAAACTCCACCTGTTTTGACAAACACAATGGTTGGGGGTCAGTCAGGAAATACTCATTGGATTCGACGTGCTTATTTTGTTGATCCACGAACTTCTGTGACTGGGTTGCAATTCGCTCCAAGGCATTTAGGTCTCCAGTTGGCTGCAGTCTCCACCGATGGCATGTTACGTATCTACGAGGCTTTGGTAAGTATGTTTTTGTGAAAAAATAATATTCAAGCTTGCAAGTAATTCTAGGTTGTTAAAAGCTTTGCCATATGCGTCATTTCATAGGAATTGTCTTCTTATCTGTAAACGAATTGTTGATGATTCATTGTGAAAAATTTTCTGTTTATTTACTCTGTTTTCAAGGATTTAGTCCAAAGTTTCAAATTCAACTAGTCTATTATGTAAAGTTTTGATAGTCTTCATTTCTTCCTTCTGTCTAAATGCACTTGTCTTTTTAAAGTATGGATTATGTTCTTAACAATCAAATTAGTACTCACTCACCTTAGTACCATTAACTTCTCGGACATTAGCACGTAAAGTAAATAGTAAAATGAAGTTGTCATTCTTATTATTGTATCTCTAAAGGTGATAGTTGTATTGCATATTGTAGTGTATTCCTTCTGAATTCAAGTAATACAAATTTCCATTATGCAGTAATGAAAAAAAACTGTATTTATCAAGTGGATGTTTCTTTTTAGGCGTTACTTTCTATTCTCTAATCTAGATTAGTTAATAATTGTAAAGCTTTCATTGCCTGTCTAACTCTGAAGATGTCAATTAGAGTTGATAAAACAAATAAAAGGCTTTGCATTTACCATACTAGAGAAAAAAAACACTGTCAATTGTGTTTATTATTGGTGTTGTATTGGTGTTCAATTTGTTTTTGTTTGTTATCAGTTAAGATACTCAGTGTGTTCAACTTTCTGTAGTGAACATAGGGTCACCGACTGGTTTCAGCATAGAACTTTGCACAGAAGTACAACAGTTCAAGTGCACCTACTCCATGTAGTATACAAAAGAAGGCAAAATAGCAAAAGAAAAAAGATCCAAGAGAACTATAGTATGCGGAAATGTAAGGGAGAAAGAGTAAGGTTGTGTAATGGATATGACACATCACAGAAAATGAATGCATCTACGCCACCGAGGACGATTTGGTTCTTAGAATCGCGTGGATCACAACCAGGAAGCCTTCTCTCCTCCCTACGTCGCTGGATCAAACTAACTGTCGGAAATTTTATGGACTGATTCCAAGTTGCTGTCTGACCACCACTAGCTCTTTTCTAACTGAATCGTGTGTCAGTTGACATTGATTGCCTATCGAGAAAGACAATCGTTAGGCATGCATAACACGTGTCCTAACCTTTACAATCGATGTAGCTTCACAACCTTATCGATTGACTGACTCTCCCCAGATAACACTCGACGCCTGACCTCAATATTACTCACCCTACTATATCACCTAACACGGGAGATAGAACTCAGACACACCTATGATCAAAGATAGCTAGCCTTTTCATATCTTCCACTTTCAATAAATAGCCATGCCTCACAGCTATAAAGGAGAACGGAGTGAACTGCTGCTACTGAAGTGCAGCGCACGTCCTTTGGTCGACAGCCAGCCGGATATCACGTCTGCACCAGAGATGGTGTTGATTGGCAAATGCCCCACGAGAATTTTGTATCCGTGCTGAAATTTCGTCATCAGTCAGTCCGTTGGGTCTGATGCAACTTCTGAAATAAGTGAAATGGTCAACACTGTACGATAAGTTAAAAAATTCTTAAAGGTTGTAAGGCATGCTGAGAAGGTCAGACCAAGTAGGAATCAGTAACTAAGATGAGGTAGTAATGTATTCAGGAGTTTTTTTCAAATATAAACCTGTGTGCCCTCAGTATGCTTTTAGTAATTCATTCATTGATAGTATTATTTCCTAGTTAGTTGTTATCATTCCGGCTTGTATTACACATGAATTTTGACCTAATTTTATTACACTTATTATTTGTTTTGCTTTTTTCCCACTGTTAAGGATGTTATGAATTTAAGTCAGTGGCGTTTACAGTTTGATTTTGGCACTAAAATGTTTGCATCCTGTTTAAGTTGGTCTCAGGTATGTGAATTTGTGAATGAAATAAAGATATAAATTCAAAGAAATGAACCTATATAGGTTTTTAAATTATTTCTTTTTTATTTTATACATATATAAACCACTTGGAGTTGTTTTGATGATTATTCTTGTATGAAGTTAACGGTTGAAATGAGGAAACAGAAGTCTGTGTCATAGACATCACTAGACTGCTAACTTGTCTACTGAATAAGTGTGCATACTAGCCTATGAACAAAGTGTGCTGCACTGCGCAAGGCCATTTATTACAGACGTATTAGTTTTCGGTCGTCATTCTTTTTAGTTAGTTGTCTTCGATTTCTTTTTCATAAATAATCCGAAATACACACTACTAATTAGTAAACTTTGGTGTATGTATACAAAAGTTTTCTATTAGAACTGTATGAATCACTGTGAATTTTCTTCCCTTAGCAAAAGAGTAGTTTGTATAGCTCGAAGTTTGTTGACTGTATTATGAACTGTAATCAGGATCTTTTTTAAATGATCTCATTTATCGAAGAGCTTTTTAAGCTGAAGGCATCTTCTATGTAATGATATTATTTGTTCAGAAACTACTGATCCTGATCAAAGCATGAACAACAGTTGTTTGTGCAGAATAATATGACACCATTTATTTCGTTGGCTTCTCGTCAGCTGCTTACAGCCTAAATAAATTATGAGGTTTATGTACAGAAAAGTTTTAGCATACTTGCATTTTTTTCCTGATGTCAGTTGACAGAAGGTTCCGCAACTAGTGATAGAAATTGCTTCGCTTGAAACCAGATATATGTGTTCAGAAATAAAGCAGTTATAAGTCCTTCGTTACCATGGTAACTTGATGCCTTTATTCTCCCTTTCATTTCATTACATAATCTTTGGCTTTAACCTCATCCCCGCTTTGATATAGTGTAATTTTGCTTTTTCTTGTTCCTGTGATTTCAGTTGAACTCAGTACATTGTTGCCTAATTTATTAGTCACTCAGCATCTTACGCATCTCTCATCTTTATTACGTAACTCCTTTACCATTATATGCATATATTTATTTTGTTTAAACTTGAACTGCCTGTGTAAAAGTTATATGTGTGTAGTTTGCTGAGCACTGTTCACTAATTCTGGAACCTCGTGTCAACTGACATCATGTGAAATTTGGAAGTATGTTAAAGCTTTCCTGTACATAAACCTCATAATTTATTTAGGCTGCGAGCAGCTGATGAGAAACCAACGAAATAAATGATGGTACCATTATTATTCTGCACAAACCACTGCTGTTCTTGCCTTATTCAAATTCATCAAGGGGAATAAATGCATGAAGAAACTACCGATCGTCGCTGGATACTCCTCCCCCTACTACTACTACTACTACTAATAATAATAATAATAATGATAATACTTGTGAAAGTACTTCCTTCATTATGAACAATAGGTTTATATGCACAACAACATTCACAGCTTTTTTTATCACAAAATATTCTAGAATCTTCAAGTGAAATAATGAATTTAATAGTATGCTATTTTACGTGATTATTGTTCAATCTGGAGTAAGTACTCTCTTCAATTCGTCGTACAGTGATATTCCCCTATATTTTTGTCGAGCCGAAAAGCTGCAATATTAGATTGAGTACCATGTAAAAATCCATGTGAGTACAGTTCGTCATTCAAGCAAACAGTTGAATGATTAAAACAATAGGAAATAAAGTGAATCTTGGTGCACTATAAGCGAATAAGGAAGTAGACATTAAACCACGGTAACTTAACCAAACCTTCAATGCTTGCTGATTTAGTATTGTTACTTTTTTATCATGCATATATACATTTCTGAATCAGTGTGTGTGTTCATGTGTTCTTTATCGACTAACTTGATGTGTTCCGATTATTTTCTTCTTTTTTTCCTTATTTGTATGTCAAATTATTTTACCTTTATAGTCTCGAATTGATCCTCCGTTGATAGCTGTTGGCAGTGGTAATCCTAATGATTCTGGCGGAAATGATAGTTCCGATTGTGTACAAACACAACATTCTGTGTCGTATCCAACAAATCCAACAGCTGCTCCAGTCCGTGGTAAACTTGTCTTGTATGAATATTCTGAGACAAGAAGACAGTGGTATCTAACTGAAGATGTTCTTGAAATGACTGATCCTATTTACGACTTATCATTTGCTCCACACCTAGGTCAATCATATCAAACATTAGCTGTTGGTTCAAAAGACCTCCACGTAATACGTATTTGTCCATTGCGTAAATCAGCGAAAGGAGGTAAGTGTTTATTATTTTTTTTATTAATCTCTTGTTGATGACTTCCCATTATTTAGTATTTTGCTGAATTTTTTCTACAATAGCCAAAACACTTTTGTGCTTCTCACACGGCTTTGTTAGCTCAGATAAAGGCCGTCGTATACGGGTTATTATTAATTTGTGTACTAAACTACTTCAATATACCGAAGATTTCTATTTAGACACAGACGACAAAAAATAAATATTGAGGATTATCGATAACTTCCTCATCTGGCATACGTGTAATGTTTAAAAAGACGTTGCTAACAAGATTGGTGTTTTCTTTTTTTTGAATAACGTCAAGTTGTTCCATATGATCTGTGTCTAGTGTCACACAAATTCGAAGACTTACACATGTGAAAACCAACAAACTGGTTGAAGCACCAGAGAAGACAGGACTCCAACTAAACGCAGAGAAGACGAGGGTGATGATGAAGATAACCAATGAGCTGCAAAAACAACAACGACAACCAGCACCAATCACCATCAACGTGAGATTAGCTCCTTCACTTATCTAGGAAGCATCGTTTCAGCTACAGGTGGGACGGGTGAAGATGTCATGGATAGATAGCCAGAATCGGAAAGGCAAGATACGCCTTGACCAACCTGAAATCAGTATGTAAATCTCCTTAGTATCAAGAACAAAATTCGGATTTTCAGTAGCAATGTCAAGTCGGTCCTTCTATACGGGTCAGAAACATGACGTTTGACGAAAAGGATTTTCAGAAGGTTTCAGACTTTCATCAACAACTGCCTTTTCTGGCTCCATACTGAAGATCAAATGGGCGGAAAGAATTAGTAACAAGAAACTGTGGGAACAAACCAACAAGGAAGAGCCGATCGCTCAACAAATATGCGGGCGGAAATGGAGGATGATGTTGCGCTCAATGCAGGCCATTGCTTGAGTGGAGTCCCAATCGGGAGCGACGAGTAGGTTGTTGGAGCGAGGGTTACATGGAGAAGATCATAGACCCAGCTGAAGAAAATAGAGGTGTGTAGCCAAAGCCCTATGTTCCACTTGGAACCCAAAGGAACAATAATAATAGTACATATGAATAAGTTTAAGTGTTAATATACATAAAAATGTAATGCCAAGTTAAATATTAGATAAAATTAAGAAGAAAGTTTGTATAACAATTAACGGTAGTTGAAACAATGCTAGTCTGCAAAGGCTTTTACGGGAAGGAGAGGAGAAATTGTCAGATTTTTACAATATGCAAGTAAAGCTTTATCAGGTGGATTCCGACAGCTTCAGATATATGTAAAAACGAACTGGTAAAGCGAAATGAAGATTGGTAAAAATGCGGTAGATAATTTTAAATACTTTGTTTACATCGACTTCTTTTGTCCAGTAATCTGTAAGGTGAGCTGAAACAAAGCAATGAATATACCTTGTTTGTCTTTTGCTTATCCACCTAGCATGATTTTCGTAAATCTGACAATAAACATGCCTAACTGTTGTAACTCTTTGAATTGATTTTATTGCTGTGATGCAAATGACTGGTTATGTGATCAACAAGACTGGATTAGCAGTAATATATGAGCTGTCTCTGGCACTAATTGATATTTCAGCCGGCGGGTGTGACCATTGCTCATTGCAGTGCTGTCAGAATGCATATAATATTAAAAACCTCTTTGATACTTAATAAGCCGTAATTAATATCTATTTATATTTATTTATGTATGTTGGACTGGATTATGCGTCAGACAGTGGGAAACGAGAAGACGGGGATATCCTGAACCGAAGTGAAGAACCTAGAAGACCTGGATTTCACGCGTGGATGATTTATGCTTGATGTCACACAAAATCGAAGACTTACAAGCGAAAACCGACAAACTGATCGAAGAAGCAGCCGGCGAAGACAGGACTCTAAGTGAACATAGACAAGACGGAGGTTATGAAAATTACCAAACAACAACGACAGCACCAACATCCAGCGTCAATCACCATCAACGGGTGATTTGGGGTTTGAAAGAGGTTACTTCATTCACTTATCTAGAAAGGGAGCATTGTCTCAACTACAGGTAGTCGGAACGGATGAGCATGTCGAATCGAGCGAGAATCGGGGAGGGGGGCGAGAAACACATTCACTCATCAACCTGAAACCAATCTGGAAATCCTCGTCACTCAGCTAGCATCAACAACAAAATTCGGCCGAATTTTCAATACAAACAACGTGTGCATAGATTTAAACGCATTCTTACATATTTTGCTCTTTATGCGTTGTTTAGCACATAATGGGGTAACACGGTTATTACCGTATACATTGCTAACTCTATTGAATCACTGTCATTTGGTAAAGAATTCAGATCTGTGAACACTACTCTACATTATCATAAATACATAGTGAATGTATTACTTTTTGAATCCTTTTATATTTCCATTAGATTACGATGATGATGTGGGGATTGCACTGGAATCCACTTCGCTTGCGTATAACCCATATACAATTAGATTGATATCACGTTATGATCATCATAAAGGACGTGTTTGGCGTGTTTCATGGAATGTAACCGGTAAATCATTATCAGTTGTTTCGTTCTTTTCCTTCTTCTGAATTTCTTGTTATGCCAGTCACTTACTCTTTTAATTTTTTTCTGAATCAAACTGGTCAGTTTATTGTTGGTGTATGCAAACCTTTTAAATGGATATATACCTTGATATGTGTTGATTGGACTTGCCAGAATATCTTTTTATCAATTTGTCTTTCACAAAGCTGCATGCTGATAACAATCTACTCATGTTATGTTATTTGAGGTTCTATTTCCAAGTCTATAAACTCTCTGTAAAGATTATTTTGTAGAAGTTATAATTTTTTACAATTCTATGTATACTAGCTAGATAGTTAAGAGCTGAATATCTTACTTGTTACATTTACCTTCTATAGACGTTTTGAATGCGATCCTAAGTTTCCAGTGCGATCTGATTGATACCATGAATTTTCGTAATCAAGAAAGCAAGCATAGTCGCATAATGGATGATTTGATATGAGTTAGTTGGATACCACTCACGTCAACCAGTAGCAGTGCTTGCTAGTCAACCAGATCAAAGTGGTGTCCTAACCCCGGATGGAAGGGTTTTTTTGGGGGTGGGTGGGCTGATCTCTTCAAAGATGCTCCCGGTGTGGCTTAGCTTTCAAAGAACCAAATCAGTTCACATCACACGAATTCTAGGTAGCTATATGGACAATTACAAGCGACTGTTTTTAAATGTTTAAAATAATGGTGTCGGTATGTAGACATTTTCGTTGGGAAATCTTTCCATACACAATCTATGTGCTTATTTATCTATGCATTACTACCCAGATATCATCAACAGGAACAAATGACGTTCAGTTCACTGTTTCATACGTATTTGTTTCAGATTGTTTAAAGGAGACGGAAGTTATTATTGAGCTTTTATTCATCACTTTCAACGATCAAATATTTTATGTTGTATGAGCATGCTGGATATACAGGACTATTTTTACCTTGATGGAATGTCTATTTTGTATTTCAGTAGTATCTACTGAAAACATCTATTTTTTTATTAATTTTTGATTACAGCTTGATTCCACGCCGTATTTTTTGGTACTTATATGGAATTTTCAGCATGGGACATCAGTAGCCCAAATTTTGCAAGCCGACCATAGATATCAGGTGTGCGTCGGCGGGGGATCGAACACCGGACCATGTGCATGGTCGGCGAGAGTTATAACCACTGTGCCACCGACGCACTGTATTTTTCTGTGTTTAATTTTACACTGGAATAGATGCATATCAGAAAGAGCATTCTTTCATATCGACTGAGAATATATACAATTTTTTAACTTGTGGAATTGCCAAATATGCCAGAGAGATCGTAGAAGCCTAATACTTAGACAAATTAGTGACCAACATACACAACATTATACATCAAATCTATCAGCCAATAGAGAATAAGCCATATACATAACAACAATGTAAAACTCTAAGTCAATTAAAAAAGTGTTCATTAATACAAATCAATAACCAATCACGGCAAAGGAGATGAAGTTATATCACTCACAGAGAATTCAAATAAGTTCATTTCATATCCGAAGTCTGCTCTGAAAACAATAAAAGCTTGGCAATTAAGGCACCTAGCGCAACCAATGCAACCGCATTAAAAGGAGTAAGGTTTTCAAGTAACCAGTTGGTCTTGACACATACAGTAGTAGTGCGATGGTATGATAGAGAGAAAGTGTTTCAATAATAATAATTTTCTTTATTCCAAAACAGTACTTGTGATACAAAATGGAATTCTCAGCATTTTATCACAGTATTGCATCCAGTTAGTACATCAGCAATAAATAAAATTCCACATAGATTAAGGGTAATCTCAGTTAGTTTTGGCAACAACATATTGGCATGTCGGTAGCAAAGCCAAAAGTGAACAGAGTGTTTGAAGGTGTTAGGAAAGTAGACGCTAGCATATTTACTGGCGTAAGTGGTAACAAAAAGGTGGAGATATACAGAGTGTGAGAGAAGGAAGAAGAATGTTTTAAATAGAGTTTGTAAGGAAGAAAGAAATAAAGCAGTACATAACAGAAAAAAGAGAAAAGGAAAGAAAGAAAACGTTGTACCCGTAAATGAGTTGGAAAGACGCGATCCAGTTGTTCTACTGACTATTTAATAAGTTATAGGTATCACGCCTAATGCTTTCTTTTTCGCACAAAACACGAACTAAGTAGCTTATGGTTGAGTTTTTGTACTTGCTAGTGCGAGCATATGGTTTCCTATCTAGGCTTCTGGTTTTGCCTGATGGGATACAAAGGGAGAGTTATGAATGAAGAGGGTGGTGTGAGTTAGATAAAATAGATTTAGTCAATTTTTCACATGAGTCCAAGTACCTGTCAACCAGAATATTAACAAGCTGGTTAAGTGGCACGTTGCTTACCCTTCTGACAACCTTTAACATCCTGCGTAATAAGGTATAGTCTTTCTTCAGTAGCCCTGGAAAAACTAAGGGGGAACAATAGAGATAATGGGCAGGATGCAAGAGTTAACGAATTGTAGGAGTTAGGGTCGGGTTATACCAGAATGTCTTAACTTGATGTAGAAGGTAAGACGGAATATTTTCTTAGAAATCATCAAGATATAAGACGACCAGAAAAGATCAGCAGATAGAATTACGCCTACGTATTATTTAATTTCAGACTTGGTTTCTATTTCAGTATCATATATGTTGCACACCTCGTGAGTGCCAGCCATTTTGTTTAGGTCAGATTTATGCCTAAAGGTGAAATTGACTGTTTGGCGTTTAGTGGGACTTAAGGTGAGACCGTTTTCCTTGGACCACTGGCTGATTTCTGATAAAAAGCCATTTAGTGTGAAGTTGTCACTTTGACATTTGACAGGCAAAGATACAATCAGGTCGTCAGCATATTTCACAAAACTAATGTCATTTGAAGATGGTAAGTCATGTAGAAAGAAAGAAAAGAGAAGCGGTGAGAGTACAGCACCTTAGGGGATACCAGCTTCAGCTGAATGTAATTCTCACATGATTTCCACAGTTCCATACGGCATTACTAACAGAATACTGCACACATATATTGGGACATTCTACTTCATGTCGTTTAATGTAAACCAAAATCACACACTCAATGAATTGGTTAGAGAATATAAAAATAGTGTTTCGATCACTTGAAAATATACCTTGTCTTCCATGTGTGATTATTACAGTAGGAGTTGGACGCTGGTGGTGGTTAGAGATGCTGATGAGACAGAATTTATGCTATTCACATTGGGTAGAGCAATTATCAAACAATGCATTTTATGCCTTACCATAATTCTTCCTAATTCTGCTATTATTATTATTGATGAGTAGTGATGAATACACTTTAGGATTAACTTGCTTTATTAGAGGATGAAAAAATTGCAGTTATTACCAAAAAAAGAACAATAGTGATAAATAATATATTGAGATAACGAAAGTGATTGCATCTGTTGGTGTATCATCAGTTGTATTCACTTAGTTAAATTCCACTTATCCACAATTTCCCATGCAGTGTTCGTAGTCTTTTCTGTATTTTCCGTCGGCAATGATTTCTAACTGGCAATCCAGGGGAATCCTTACTGTGAAGTGATTTTTACTTCAGATTTCAGCCTTGACTGTTTATTAAGATAATACATGATTACAGCATAAAATTTAATTCTTATCTAATCTAAATTTTTTTTTAAATTATCTTCCAAATATAGGTTCATTACTGGCATCATCTGGAGATGATGGTTGTGTACGTCTTTGGCATGCTCATTACTTAGGTGTTTGGCTACCAATCTCTATTCTAAGTTTAGATGGTGGTAATCTGTGTATAACTACACTACCTGATAATCGAGCTAAATTTATGCTTAGACCATGTTTAAGTACAGTTTTACCAAAATTGTTTCCATCATCATCATCAACTTCTTCAAATCTACGTCTTATGTCGAATTCAAACACTACACTAAGACATAATGAACATGCTGTGGATAATAGTGTTGATAAAACAGCCAATACATATTTAGGTAAGATAAATTACATTCTTTATTATTATTATTAAATGTTAATTTTTACATTTTAGATATTAATTGAAAAAAACAACTAGTGATTATGAGTTTTTGTAGAGATTTTTAAATAATTTTAGTGTATTAGATCTTGTCACAATATAAAAACAACATCAGATAGAGAGGAATCATTGAAAATCAATGAGCACTAGACAGTCGTCTCGTTGTAGTTTAGGGAAGGGGTCTTTTCAACAGCGTGCGCCGGAAAACCCCACCAGGGATTGTACCTGAGATCTCCAGGTTATGAGACCAAGTTCATTGACCACTTCAGACAATTGGGTCGGAATTTAATTACCCGTGAGTTCTGACTTCACCATTTCAATGGTTGATGTTTATTCGTGATGCAGTCTACGTTGGAGTCAAATATTTACAAGTGCTATTTTAAACCTGTTCTTTTTTATGGATGTTTTGTCTCACTGACTTTCAGCCAGCTTCGACTCTTGTCCCACCTACCTATGTTTGGGTAAATGGATGGTTTCACTACCCCTCACAGGTTTATTAGGTGTACAAGTTACATCAAAATGAAATTTAAAGTGACTTTTGGGAATATATATGTGTAAAACTTGGGCACTGTGGTAGTAAGTAATTCTATATTAGTTTGTTTATTAGAAGTGTCAATTAGAAACAAGCTTTGTCGGTTAAAGGATCCTCTGGAGCCTTTAAAACAAAACAATTTAGTTTATCTAATACCCTGTCTGCAATGATTGTCAGGTCAAATACATAGGTCAAACTAGTAGAACAGGGGCAGTCAGACTAGCTGAACATAAAAACCTAGCAAAATCTAGATTGGTTGACCCAAATAAGATAAGAAATCTAGAGAATAGTTCAGTCATAGCAGTCACACACAACCATACAATAGGATGAAATAGGATGACTGTTTTAAAATGTAATGTCACGGGGTGGCACAGCGGTTAGGACGCTCGCCGACTATGCACATGGTCCGGAGTTCGATCCCCGGCCGACGAACTCCTTTACCCCGCTAAGCCTAAAATTATGCTGGTAAAGAGGAGAGGTTGGGCATGAGGCTAGCAACCCCATCCTGTCAGATTAAACACTGCTACAGAAACTTGAAGCCTTATGTTCCACTGGGAACGTGAAGGGAAAAAATGTCACAGGGTGGAGGGAGAGATTGATAACAGAAGCTTTGTTTATGGAATCAGCTGCAAATACACGTAATAGGAATGATTCAACACCTATCCCAGATATCTGGAAAATTCTACTACCTATACGGCAAATAGGAGAAGACAAAGAAAACTATAAAACTCAAGTTTCGTAATTGTGTGATCATAATTGATATGATTATGAACAATAGATTTTGTTCGAAACTTTGTCATCCAGTAAATATTACTGTGTTCACTGTGTGATACATTTAATAAACAAACTAATATGAAATGACTTTTGGTAAACCTTTTAATCATGAAGTATTTTTTAGGAAAAAATAAAAGCACAACTGGCGGAATATTGTAATGATATATACTATTGTTTGATATTAGTATCTACGATCCAGACATTATAATTTGACCCTCAAAATAGTTCCGAAACTTTCTTACCCCCTTACTTTATATATATGCATAAATGTACTGTCTGTTTTCGACATAGAACTTTGCACAAATGTGCACCAGTTCAAGTCGCCACACTCCATGAAGCAAGAGAAGAAAGTAGAAGAAATGCATAATAGAGACAGTAAACAGAGGTGTGAGACAAAGGAAGAGTAATAACGAAGAACAAAAGAGTTTCATTGGAAATCATAAATCACAAGGAGTGGATGCATCTGCGCCACTGAGAACGATTTTGAGCCATGTGACCAATTGTTTCCAACCATTTGTTTTTACCGTCCAGAGGACCCCAACCAAGAAGTCTACACCTTCCTACGTGGTTTAGACTAACTGTTGTAGATTTCATTGACTGGTGCCAAGTTTTTGTTTGACCTCCGCTAGCTTTTTTCCAGCCCGACCCTATATCCGCTAACATTGCCCGTCGAGGAAGGCGATGACTAGGCATATGTAACACATGTCCTAACCATCTCAGTCTTTGTAACTTCACAACTTCGTCGATTGATTTCCCCTGTTTACCTAGCACTCTACGCCTAACCTCAATGTTGCTCACCTTATTATGCCACTTCACACGGGAGATAGAACGCAGGCACCTATGATCCAAGACAGCTAGCTAATCTTTTCATGTCTTCCACTGTCAATGGCCAGGTCTCGCTCACAGCCATAAAGGAGGACGGAGCGGACTGATGAGCAGTACACCCGCCCTTTGGTCGATAAGTCGGATATCACGTCTACGCCAAAGACGGCGTAAACTGGCAAATGCGAAACGAGCCCCCTGTATCCGTGCTGAGATTTCGTCAAAGATCAACCCGTTGGCGCTGATGGTACTTCCCAAATAAGAGAAGCGGTCAACAGGCTTTACAACTTCACTTCCTATTTTTAAACTAGGAGTCGGAGTAGTCCAGTTCTGTAACATCATCTTGCATTTCTACAGTCTAGTTAATGACATCCTCGTAAAAGAGATTTTTAATTTTTCTTATGATCTAACGTGTTATCGTTATTACTGCTTATGAAATAAAGTTGAGAAGTTATTCTCGATTTTAACGAGTAGTTGTTGGCCATAACTACTACTACCACTACTATTTATCCCTTGATAAGGCTAAACTGATCACAAAACTGTCCCAATAAGTTTTTTTTCATTCTCTAATGTTCCGAATGAAACATAAGGTGTCAAGCATTAACATCTCACTAGCTGTGGTGATGTCATTACGGCGTGGAATTGCTAGTCTCACGCAACCTTCCCTCTTTCCTGGGCTACATATGAACTAGGCAAGAGTTCAATATTGTTGTGTTCACTTGCTAGTGAACCAGAAACATGTGTGTGGTTGACTGAGAAGCATTTTACCATTAAGCCCCATTGAAGCATTATTCAAACAGTAATGTAAAGCATACAAAAGCTCTAAAAAGAAATGAAAGCGGTTTGGAGTCAGCCAATGAAAAACGAAGCCAAAAAGGAGACGAAATGTCGCTCTTCATATTGATTAGCTATTGTTCTCACTTACAACCTACGATGAACAACACTAAACGTTTGGATTACAATTTGTTTGAAGTAATATATATATATATATATATATATATATATATATATATGTATATAATATATGCATTCCTTTTTTTGCGACAAGATAGTTTTCTTTTACATACAAATCTCTCAACTATTGATAATTCCCATGTGAAATTTCCCGCTTATGCGTTTATGGCTTATACTGTTATGCTCATTTCAGGTAAACCATCACTTCATGGATGTCCCATCCCATTTCAGAAGTTAGCACCAGTTTCAAACGCTAATCAACCCGGTGCTTGGCATTAAACTTCATCAGAATTGTGTAATCTACACCACTATACATATATATATATATATATGATGATGGTGCATATTTTTAGAAGTTCATATTTGTACTCACATCATCCATTATGATAACTCTTATTTGATATGGACAGATTTTTGACAAAAGACTAAAAAATCAGTTAATAATTCACTGTATATTACTCTTGTTATCACCAGTGTTCAAAAATATATAATTGATATTCCCTATGAATGTATGCTTAGCTTAGTTTTGTGATTAGCTGTCAAAACTCTGACTGTATCATTATTATTATTCCTCTGGGTTCCTAGTGGAACATACGGCTTCAACTGCACGTCTCCACTTGCTTCTGTCTTCCTTCTGCTGTACTTTTCACCTGTATCCATGTTAGTCCATACTCTTTCAACTCCTCTTCACACGATCTCCACCATGTCACCCTTGCGCTGACGACCACATGCCACTCGCCGCGTGCTTCCCTTTCGGCCTGGTTCCACTCGACCAATGGCCTGACGCGCGCGCCATGTCACCCAGCGGCGGCCTCCAGCCTCAGCGAGTGTCCGATCCATCTCCACTTTCTCCTGCATATTTGTCGGCTGGCGATTGGTTCTTGCTTTGTCTGTTCCCATAGATCCTTGTTGGTGATTCTTTCCGGCCCCGCCCCGCCCGGCCATCTGATCTTTAGTATAGAGCCAGAGAAGACAGTTGTTGGTTGATAAAGCTCTGGTCTGAAACAGGCTGTAGGAAATATTCTTTGTGACCCGCCCGCCCGCCAACTTTCTGATCCGTTCCGTATAAAAGAACTGACTGACTTCACGTTGTTTGTATTGAAAATTCGACCGAATATTGTTGTTGATGCTGGCTGAGTGACGAGGATTTCCAGATTGGTCTCAGGTTGATGAGTGAATGTGTTTCTCGCCCCCCTCCCCGATTCTCGCTCGATTCGACATGCTCGTCCGTTCCGACTACCTGTAGTTGAGACAATGCTCCCTTTCTAGATAAGTGAATGAAGTAACCTCTTTCAAACCCCAAATCACCCGTCGATGGTGATTGACGCTGGATGTTGGTGCTGTCGTTGTTGTTTGGTAATTTTCATAACCTCCGTCTTGTCTATGTTCACTTGGAGTCCTGTCTTCGCCGGCTGCTTCTTCGACCAGTTTGTCGGTTTTCGCTCGCTTGTAAGTCTTCGATTTTGTGTGACATCAAGCATAAATCATCCACGCGTGAAATCCAGGTCTTCTAGGTTCTTCACTTCGGTCCAGGATATTCCTGTCTTCTGGTTTCCCACTGTCTGGTGCATAATCCAGTCCACCACAATTGTGAATATCAATCATTGGTGATAATAATCACCCTTGTCTGACTCCTCTGTTTATTCAAAACGCCTCGCTGAGTTTTCCGTTGTGGATGACTTGACATGTGCCGCCGTTGTCGTACAGCTGTTGAATAAGGTTGATGAGTATTTGGGGGTACGCCGTAGTGCTCGAGTAGTTTCCAAATTACTTCGCGGTCAACGCTACGCTGTCGAAGGCCTTCTTCTCAAAGTGTATAAAGTTGAGGTAGAGGTTTGATTGATGGCCATTCCATGCTTTGTTCTGTGATGATGATGATGCGTAGAGTTGCAATTTGTTCAGTACATGATTTGCCTTTTCTGAATCCAGCTTGTTGTGGTCGGAGTTCTGTATTCAGTGTGTCCTTTATTCTCTCCAGGATGATGTGACTCAGGAGTTTACTCGGCGTCGACAGGAGCATGATTCCTCGCGAGTTTTTGCAGAGTGAGGCCTAAGTCTCCCTTCTGTGGTAGTTTCACAAGGTAACCTTTCCTCCAGTCTGTAGGCACATTTCCCTCCTTCCAGACCTTTTGCAATGATGGAGAGTCAGCCAAGTTTCTGATCCTTATAGAAGAACTGACTGACTTGACGTTGTTTGTATTGAAAATCCGACCGAATTTTGTTGTTGATGCTGAGTGATGACAAAATTTGGATTTTTGACTGTAGAAATGTTGATTTATTTGATCAACAGTTACCCTTGGATGGATGACATTAACTTTCATATAGAATTGTATTAAAATAAAAGCCGTTATAATCGTATGCCGTTACAATTCAATCTAATAGTTAAGTAATAATTTCATTTAAACACAGCGATCTGATAACTTTGGGATAGTTGGTAACATTGGTTTTATTCACAGTGGAACAAAACTGGCTGTTATTTGTGTCAGTTTATAAGCGCGATTCTTCAGAGACTTACCCGGTTTGAATGTCGTCTTTGAATTTTTTTTCTACTATTATCATCAATAGTAAATTAAACGGTAACAATGAATGAACCTATCACGGAACTGCATAGGTTCTAGTTGTCACTCTTGAAGAAAGCAAGCGAATAAAAAATTAGAAAAAAGCAATTATGCCAGTGTACGCTAAAAGAGAGGAAAGTTAAGGGAAAACTTGTAGATTCCGAGTCATCACTAAATGACTTTGAGGTTTTTCTCGAACCATTCATTTCTAAAGTCTCAAGCTAATCAGTTTATTCAAGTATTGGTTTGTAGGGATTCGGTTGATTGGTTACAGAATTTCATCATGAGCTGACGTTGGTTAGAGAACCATTGGAAAACCTGGGAGTACTGGACAGCTGTTTCGTCCTAGTTTGGAACTGTTCATCAGTACGCACCCACCACCAGGGTTCGAACCCAAGACTTTCTGGTTACAAGGCGAGCTCGTATACCATTAAGCCACTGGGACCCGATCCAATGGCCCATGAATTCTAACTTCTGTCAATGCTCTTACATAATCTAAAACAATGAGTGATGAATAACGTTCATAATTGTTTTCTAAAAGTGCAATCACTTGAAAGCAAGAGTAATGTTCATATAAGGAAGATGTTTAGAATATTTACGAAGTAATTTGTTGTAAAGAAAAGGAAATGAGGATGGATTACGTAATTTTAAATATAATAAATTACAGTATACACATAAAGGCACTTTGGTTGGACACTGTTGTCATGCGTGTAGTTCATTGTTTAGTGTAGACTGAATTCTATCAGTCAGGCTTGCAATGTGGACACCATGCTAGGTGATTCGACATCATGGCGCGCTCTAAATTTTTAATATTAGACAGTTAAAGGAAATATGTAGGAAACCTTGCACCTGGGTTCCGCGTTTTGTTCGCACTCGCCAGCAAGGCATATCTGCAATCTTGAAGCAGTTCATGTAAATATTCAACCAGTGTACATGTGAACAAAATGTAGTGCGTTTATGCTTCATAACACGGTGTTTAAATGCAGCGCAGTAAACGAATATTATTTGATGGTTAATGGCCCCAATGGAATTCAGGACATGTGTTTCAACCTATTTGGGATTCTTCATCTGAATCTACCTGCACTCTAAAAACTCAAACCTAGCAAACATCACGTCAAATAGGTCTATAAATCACGCAGTGAGTAACAGTTGTTTTAAATCCTGGGCTTGTCCTGATTTTTAAAATCCTCATCAGACTGAAGTGCTCAATCCCTGTTAGCATAGTGATTACTCGTATAGAAGCTTAGTAATATCTTTGATTCCAACTACGGTGTTATTTGAATGACACACAATTAAGATGCCTCCAAAAATACAAAACCATTAATTGTAAGAATGCCACAATATTATATACAAGTGACTTCTTGTATTGTTATCCCCGTAGCTTCCGAGTGGAACATAGAGATTCAACAACACAGCTCCACTTTGTTCTACTTTCTTCAGTCCTCTTCAGCTGGATCCACGACTACTCATAGTCTCTCATCTCCTCCTCGCATGATTTCCTCTCTGTCACTCCCGAACGACCAACTCGTTGCTTGCTATTGAGATTACACTCGAGCAATGGCCGGCATTGCGTGCGATGTCATTCGACGGCCTCCTCGGCGTACGACCAATCCATATCTGTTTCCTTCTGCATACTTGTTGAATAACCAGCTATAGGTTGGTTTGTTGCTAGTGGTTTCTGGACTTTCTTATGTAGACAAGTTAATCTCAGTATTTTGTAGCAAGGTGGCTTGTCCGAATGAGGTAATCCGTTACCCTGTGCTCCCATTTATTCGTTTGAATTCAGCTGAAATCAAAGAATTAAACATAGGCAATCTGTCCAATGGTAGTTGGTTATTGATTAGTTTGTATATAAGTCTATACTCTCTGTAAGATCAATTCAGTTCCCATCCTTGAATCAAGTCAACCTGTCCCGGATCAGCCTAGCGTTGCTGCAACCCAATTATCCATGTCTAACGTGTCTATCCCCCTTGTTTAATGAACTGTGTGTGTTTTTACATCGATCTGTTTAGTCAGACAGTTGAACTCATGACCCGATCAGAGTATTTTGTGAACTGTTATTTTTGCTGACCCATGTCTTACTTTGTACTATTCTGTCGAGTTTATCTTATTTATTGATCTTCATTTGTATTTTCCTACCTGGTTAAGTAGCCAATTAAATTCTATCTTTGTGCCTATGCTCGGTCTATCTCTCTTAAACGCTCTCTGTTCTATGCCCTGTCTTACTTGGGTCCATTCTTCTATTGACTGCTTACCTGAACGGTCGTGTCTGATTCCGGCTAGTTCGCAATTTTGGCTTTAACGTTATTCCGCTTTGATAGCGGTACCTTGCTTTCTGTTAAGCGTTGTGCTTTGTACTCTTGAAACCGTTAAGGTTTGTTGTATATATAATTATTTTGTTTATTAATAGTACCGTAGAAACTGAATGGCTTCTTGTTTGTTCTGGACCGGGATAGCCTTTATCTACGCGTGACTTAATTTCAAGCGATATTGGGCTTACAGTACTTAACGTCAAACAGAAAAGACCGTGCTGAACTGGTCAATACTGAACGTTCATCCAGAAGAAACTGTGGTGAATTGGCAGCACGCAACGTTGTTGAAAATACATTTTCTTTGGAACAATGCAAACCAGATCAGGGAAGCAAATTTCGGAGCAGCAGTCGGAGAGTCGGCAAGTTCCCGTTTGTATAAATGATCATGTTGATAATCTTTCGTGCCCCG